GTGAGACGACCCGAGCCTCCAGTGAGACAACCCGAGCCTCCAGTGAGACGACCCGAGCCTCCAGTGAGACGACCCGAGCCTCCAGTGAGACGACCCGAGCCTCCAGTGAGATGACCCGAGCCTCCAGTGAGGTGACCTGAACCTCTAGGGAGGTAACCCGAGCCTCCGGTGATGTCTCACAGGCTTGCGTGGTCAGAGTTGCAATGACCATGTCTGGTCCCCCGACTCTGGCCCCCCTGACGGACGGGTCCCCAGACCTGACTTACCTCCGGAGGGTCCCGGGCCCCTGAGGAATTCGGGTGAAGGTCGGCCGGGTAGTCACTCATCCTCCATGGGCCAGAACTCTGGGGCCCTGGAACTTCTCAGGGGGCGCCTCCCACAGAGGTCCCCGAGGTGAGAGCGGCTTCCTGGGTGAGACTCTGGGACGGCTTTTGTCTGGTGATGGACGAAGATAACTCTCGGTGGGGCCTCCAGAATGTCGTCCTGGCCCGAGCGTAGAAAGTCAACACCGAGACAAAAGTGTGCCCAACTGCAGGCTCTTTACTGCCGGCGGCCACGGAGGACTCGCGTCTCTCCAACCCGTGGCCCCGAAAGGAGGGTGTCAAGACCTTTTATACCCCTAAAGCCACCTCGGGGGTGAGGGTGAGGGGCGGGGATGGGGTGAGGGGCTTCAGACATTCCGAGGGCCAGGGGACTTTAGACGTTCCGATTGTTACTTAAGGGGTTTACAGAAGTCAAGGTAAGCGTTAGTTTCCACACTGGGTAGTGGTGGGAGTTACAGACCTCAGTTACTTACTACAAGTCACAGGAGCCAAGACGGTGTGGGTTTGGACAGCTTGCCTGTCACGTTAGGGTCACCAAGGGCAGTTTCAACAGAAAGCCAAGGTGTGCTTGAGGTGTGCAGTTTCCTGGGGCTTTTACCGTGTCACACCAGGTTCTGCTTCCCTGGGGAGCACACAAATCAGAAGGAGCAGGAGGAACGCACTGCCCTAGTTCTTCACTCCCTGTGCAGTTAGAATCACCAGGTGAGCTGCTGAAAACCCCTGAGGTCCAGGCTGCACCCCAGAACAAGGGACTATCTGGGGGCGGGGCCGAGACAACGTCAGAGTTGAGTTTAGTTTTCTTTTTTTTGGAGAAAGAGTCTCATCCCATCACCCAGGCTGGAGGGCAGCGCTGCCATCGTAGCTCCCTACAGCCGGGAACTCCTGGGCCCAGAGACCCTCCTGCCTCAGCCTCCAGAGTCGCCGGGACTACAGGTGCGTGCCACCAGGTCTTTGCTATTTTAAAAACACTTGGGGGGGTGGGAGGAGGTCTTGCTGTGTTGCCTTAGGCTGATCTGGAACTCCTGGGCTCAAGTGATCTTCCCGTCTCAGCGTCACGGAGTGTTGGGATTATAGGCATGAGGCACTGTACCTGGTCAGCAGTGACATTTTCTAAAAGCTTAAGTGTCATGTGTGAGCATGGTGGAGAACCACTGCCTGGGAGGGTCTGTGAAGCTCAGCTAACTTTGAGTTACCCTGAGAGCAGAGAAGAAAGATAGGGATAGACAGAGAGGCCAGGATCCCAAGAGCTGAAGTGGGGCTGTGAACCCCAGAGAATCTGAGACAGCTCGCCATGTTTTTGTTGTTGGAGTTTTACTCTGTCACCCAGGCTGGAGTGCGATGGTGCAATCTCGGCTCACCACAACCTCCGCCTCCCAGGTTCAAGCAATTCTCCTGCCTCAGCCTCTGGAGTACCTGGGATTGCAGATGCATGCCACGTTGTCAGGCTAATTTTTGTATTTTTAGTAGAGACAGGGTTTCTCCATGTTGGTCTCGAACTCCTGACCTCATCTGATCTGCCCTTCTTGGCCTTCCAAAGTGCTGGGGTTACAGGCGTGAACCACGACGCCCGGCCAGCATGTCATCTTAACACGGCTCCGGAGCTCCCCAGAGGTTAGTACCTGCATCTTTCTTCTTGGTCCTGGGAAGCTCAGAAATGAGAGCAGGGTTCTTGACTGGTGCAGCCAGCCAGGTCCAAACACAGCTGCAGGACGGATTACCACAGACCAGTTGGAGCCCTTTGCTGACCTATGCTTGGGGTCTGGAGCATGGGCCCAGGTGTGGGTTTGGAGCGCCAGGAGCTACAGGTGTGTTCCCGGGAGGGGGGGGGGGGGTCAGGAACACAGCTGTTTCCTCTGTTCAGGGCACCGCCTAGTGATTGAAACCCACGTGCCCTGGGCCGGGCGTGGTGACTCACACCTGTAATCTGAGCACTTTGGGAGGCTGAGGTGGGCAGATTGAGCTCAGAAATTCGAGACCAGCCTGGGAAACATGGCAAAACCCCATCTCTACTCAAAATGCAAAAAATTAGCCAAGCAGTGGTGGCATACACCTGTAATCCCAGCTACAGGGGAGGCTGAGGCACAAGAATCACTTGAACCCAGGAGGTAGAGGTTGCAGTGAGCTGAGAGATCATGCCACTGTACTCCAGCCTGGGAGACAGAGTGAGACTCCGTCTTTAAATAAATTAAAAAAAAAAAAAAACTTTGGGAGGCCAAGGTGGGTGGTTCACCTGAGGTCAGGAGTTTGAGACCGGCCTGGCCAGTATGGTGAAACCCTGTCTCTACTAAAAATACAAAAAAATTAACCAGGCATGATGGTGTGTGCCTGTAGTCCCAGCTACTCAGGAGGCTGAGGCAGGAAAATCTCTTGAACCTGGGAGGCAGAGGTTGCAGTGAGCTGAGATCGCACCACTGCACTCCAGCCTGGGCAACAGAGTCAGACTCCAACTCAAAAAGAAAAAAGAAAAAAAAAAAAAAAAACACAAAAACCCCAGGTGTCCTGTGTCGTCAAACCAGGGAGTGCAAGACAGAACTTGGCCTCAGGTCTGCAGCAGCCAAGGCACGGATCCTCTGTCACTCAAAACAAAGCCCCTTGCTACAAGCAGACCTTCCACAGTGGGCAGAGGGTCCACGAGCCCCGCTTTCTAATTGTGCATGTGGCTGAGCCATAGACCTGTATGGGAAAGAAAAGCCTTCAAAGTTCATTTTGCTACAAAATTATGGAAAAATTTAAATGGGATTCAAAGGTAGGTTCGCATCTTAAGAGAGAATTTTGTTTTACCTTGGACCCTTATCCAGTTTGCGGCCACATTGGACAATGAGTCTTCCGGGGGTTCCTTGTCTTCATCTCAGTGTGTCAGGATTTGAGACACTGAGTTCTGTGGTCAGTCCTCTGCTGTGTGGTTTGTTACACAGGAAACTCCTGGCTGAGTTGCCCAGAAAAAAGAATATTCATAACTAGGTGCTAGATTATAGCACCAAAAATGAAAGATGGCAGATGGGAGAGGACAACCTCTAACCCTCATGCCACTGGGGCTTTCCAGATGCCCCCTTTGCTGGAGTGAAAAGCATAAAGAAAAGTGTGCTTTATGCCTGAAACATTCCATTTTTAGGATTTTTAAAACAATAACAGAGGCTTAGTGACTGCACCTCATAAGCTACCCCTGAGAAGGTATATAAAATGCAATATTTAAAACAGAGTACCCCAGAGGACACTGTGAGATCCAACCCAAAAAACTGGAAACTCTTTTTTTTCCTAAAAACAAGACATCTGGAAAAATGTGGGATGACATTTTTGAGAAGTGAAGAAAATATGAGATGCTTCATGGTTCTTGGAAACGGGAGGCCAAGTTTTGGTCCGAATTTGGGCAGTAAACCCAGTCTCAGCTACTTGGGAGGCTGATGTGGGAAAATCACTGGAGCCCAGGAGTTTGACACCAGTCTGGGCAATACAGTGAGACCTTGTCTCTGCCAAAAAAATTAAAATTAAAATTAACCAGATGCAGTGGGATGAGCCTGCAGCCTCAGCTATTCAGAAGGCTGAGGCAGGAGGATCGCTTGAGCCCAGGAGGTCGAGACCAGCCTGGGCAACATACTGATACGCCATCTGTAAAAAGCTTTTTAGCCATGCATAATGGTGCCCACCTGTGGTCCCAGCTACTTCCTGTGCACCATTATGCATGGCTAATTACAATCCTACCCGAGGTGGGAGGCTTGCTTGAGCCCAGTGTCTGAGGCTGCAGTGAGCTATGACTGCACCACTGTACTCCAGTCTAGGTGACAGAGGGAGACCCTGTCTTGAGAAAAGAAAGAAGAGAAAGGAAGGAAGGGAGAGAGAGAGAGGAAGGAAGGAGAGAGGCAGGGAGGGAGGGAGTAAATAAATAGGCTGTGTGCGGTGGCTCCCCCAGTGTGAGGGATTACTTTGGGAGGCTAAGGCGGGCTGATCACAAGGTCAGAAGTTTGAGACCAGCCTGGCCAGTATGGTGAAACCCCATCTCTACTAAAAATACAAAAAAAAAAAAAAAAAATCCAGGCAAGGTGGTAGGTGCCTGTAGTCCCAGCTACTCAGGAGGCTGAGGCAGGAGAATCTCTTGAATCTGGGAGGCAGAGGTTGCGGTGAGCTGAGATCAAGCCACTGCACTCTGGCCTGGACAGCAAAGTAAGACTCTGTCTCAAAAAAAAAAAGAAAGAAAAGAAAAGAAATTTTGGGCATGATCTCAGCTAGTGCCCTTAACCAAGTCACATAACTTTTCCATACCCTGCGTTTATTTCCTTATTTAAGGAAATAGGTATCTTTTTCTATTCCAGAGAAGCTCTTATTAACATTATAAATTCCGAAAGCTTAGGCGAAGGCCGTGTCTTAGTGTCATATTGAGAAGAATTTGGCAAACAGAATCCCAGAGGGATGACACCATTAGCTAGGGTGTCTGCAGAGTTTTTAAAATGATAACATCTGCTCCCCAGCCAGAAGACGTTTCATTTCTCACCGTATGTTCCAGAGTCCACTTCCGCTAGCGCCAGTCATCGCTCTCGCATCCCAGCAGACAGCGAGATCACCTGTGGCATCTTGGTGAGGACAGGCTGTCATTGAACGGACCTGGGTGACCTTTGGGGTCCCGGGAATGAGTCTCTGGACCCATTTGCAAATCAAACCACATGTAATGAATGGAATCTCTCATCAAAAGAAAAAAAAACTTTTATTTTTTTCTATTGCATAAATAATGGTAAATTAGACTCTTTTATACAGATTATATATTTACAGACAAGTTTGGTTAAAGAAAACTCTGGTAAATATGGCAGTTTTCCTTTATACACTAAGGTAACATATTAATAATATATACTTCATTTGATCCGTGAGTTGCATGCTAAGTTAATTTATATTAATATGTACACTTTATATAAAGATTCTTTTTTGACTAGTCTGCTGACTTTCTCATCACTTAAGAGCAGAAATCATCAACTAATACTGAATGAGAGAAATGGAATGCAAATGAGGTAAGTGGGGAGACGGTCATCAGTGAGTTCAGTCTTAGTGGCTCATTCTAGATATGAGAGCTTCCAAGCTCCAGTGGGCCTGGCTGTGCTCAATCCCCCGCTGTGCTTCTATTTACACCCAACGTATCAGGGCAAAGATTACGGTCATTTACTACTGTGCTTTGAGAGACAACTCACATCCCAAGTCTAATGACTGCTACGGTCACCGCGACCCCTCCTCCCCTCCCAGCAGGTGACATTTCACCAACCCACTGCCTGGACAGACTTTCTGAGTCTAACTGCTCTCTGAAGTCATTGTCTTTGCTTAGCCCTTGGAGAAATAGCTTCTTCCTGGTTCAGAACTGGGGAAGAAAATCAGACCCCACTAAGAAGCCACTGAAGGACCCCTGAAAGCGAATTTTGAGCTAAGAAAGAGAAAATATGCTTTAATTTTCCTTGGAGAGAGTCGAGACACACTGGCTTGTGCAGCTCTCCACCAGGAGCTGAGAGGATCCTTTCTCGGCCAATCTAGGTCTTTTCCAGGGAGAACAACAGGGCTTGTTAGAAAAACAATGACTGGGACGTTAGTCTGCTTTAGGAAGAGGGAAAAAGAGACCTGTGGCTCCTGCAGCCACTCTCTTCCTGGTCATGGCTGGGTCACCTCAACAGCAGGCACCCCTCAACACTCAGCATCCCTCGCCAGCCATTAAACGGCGTTCGCAGGTGACCCGTCCCCTGGGAGAATTAAGCGAATTCCTCACAGTCACCAGAGATTGTGACTCTCCCTTCTGTGGTATTAGGAATAATCAGAACCCACTATCAACCTGTACTGGAATTGCTGCTACAGTAGCCAGAAAAAAAGAGGAAAGAAAGAAATAGCTGGAAATTGTGCTCTTTATTCAGTAGCTTTCGGCAAGGCTTTCTCAGATGGAAAAATAAGCAAATAAATAGCTCTTCTTGGAATCTGGGCTTGTTTCCCCCAACTTTCTCCTGAATTCTGATTCACGTGACCCTTGGGGAGGTGGCTGACTTCCCTTATTTTCACACTTGCCAAGACAAAGGCAGAAAGCTCATCTTTGATGCTCCCTCCAGCCGGCAAGTCCTTAGGTAATAAACAAAACCTCTTGCCTGCAAGATATGACACACTTGACGTAAACCAATTTGCATGGTTTCATTTATAAACAGCAGACACCAAAAGAGAGACTTTATCACAGCTGCCTCTTGGGACTTGTGTTCAAAAGGAGCTGCCGGCTCCTAGTGCAATTCACCGGGGAAATTCGGACCCTCTCAGAAGGGAGCATTCACTCTGTGTTGTTTCAGACGAAACAGATGGGAGGGCTTGTCTGCTTTACTTTTCCTCTGGCTTTAGAGAAACCTGGAGCCAGGGAGACATGTCACTCAACGTAACCTAGATGGTGGAGGAGTCCCACCTTCTGTGCTTTCCCCCATCTGGCAGCACCAACCGCAGTTCTGGTTCTCTCCTCTGCTCTCCTGGCCTCCGTTCAACAGGTCTGAGCACCCTGGGAGAGGCATTCTGGGCTTGACAGATGTCAGAATCCTCCCAGGAATGGCGAGCTACCAGCCTGCTCTTGAAATTCACAGAGCCTGTCAGGTGGATCAGACTGATGGGCAGCCCCGTGACACCCGATGCCCTGCGTGTTTCCAAAGTAGGCCAGCGACCTGGAGAAGACTTTCAGAGGACGGCATCTGCAGCCCTTTAAGAACTTTCTTTGTCTCTCAGGTCCAGAGACGGAGCAGTATCACAGCTGCATCTTGCGTTCCCTGGAATATTTCTTCCTAATCAGCCTGCTCTTCTATGCCACAGGAAAATTCCAGCCTCTGTGTCTTTTCCACTTGGGCAACAACTTAATAACCTGTAGCCATTTGAGAAGCACTAGTTTGAAAGCCAACCTGTCACACCTGAGGAAAGGAGAGGGGTGAGTCTGTGCTCGGCACGGGGGCTGTGCTCAACGGATGAACCAGCCCAAGGTCAGGGCCGGGGGCAGGCGGCTGGTCAAGCTTCATCCACTTTCAGAGGACCGTCTTGGGGGGGGGACTGGAAAAACCTCATTCTTTGTGGTATATTTCAAGCCAATGGAATAAAACTGAATTTGCCTTGGAGACATGTGAACATCATTATCATGTCTCTTGAGACCCTATGAAGAGTCCCAAATGAATATGAAGGAGAAACCGTACTGTCAAAATGACCACGTACGTTAGCAGTGAGCATAGGATACTGAGAGAAATGCGTAGCCCATTGGTGTCACTGATCTCATTCCTCCGGACCAATCACACAGTTTGGATATTTGTTTCCTCCCAGTTTTACGTTGATCTCCAATGTTGGAGGTAGGGCCTGCTGGGAGGCATTTGGGTCACAGGGACAAATTCCTCATGAATGACTCAGTGCCCTCCCTGTGGGTAATGAGTGAATTCTCACTTTACTAGTTCATAAAATCGCTGGTTATTAAGAAAAGGAAACTGGTACCTCCTCTCCTTTCTCTTGTTCCTGTTCCTTCCGTGTGACGTGCCTGCTCCCCCTTCACCTTCCACCGTGAGTGGAAGCTTCCGGAGGCCTCCCCACAGGCCAAGCAGATGCTGATACCTTGTTCATACAGCCTGCAGAACCGTGACCCACATAAACCTCTTTTCTTTATAAAATACCCAGTGTTAAGGTATCCCTTTATGGCAATGCAAAATGGACCATCAACAATTTGTGGCAAGGCCAAAAAGGGCTGAAAAATTGAGGACAGTCCCCTGAGTGACTTAGTGAACGCAGTATGAAGTGAAGCTGAACAGCTGTGACCCTGGAATTACCAGAGACCGGATATTATCAGGTCGTGAGAGGCAGCCCAAATTCTCCTCTATGTTGCCATCACTTTAAATGATTCAAATTGAAAAGTCTTAGCCGGTGAATAATGCTTCTTTTCTTTTAAATTATTATTATTTTTTTTAGATGGAGTTTCACTCTGTCCCCCAGGCTGGAGTGCAATGGCACGATCTCAGCTCACTGCAGCCTCCACCTCCCAGGTTCAAGTGATTCTCCTGCCCCAGCCTCCAGAGTACTAATTTTTTTTTTTTTTTTTTTTTTAGTAGAGATGGAGTTTCACCATGTTGGCCAGGCTGGGCTTGAACTCCTGACCTCAAGTGATCCACCTGCCTCAGCCTCCCCAAATGCTGGGATTACAGGCGTGACCCACCCTGCCCCGCGCTTGATACTTCTTTTCTAATTCAGATGGATTCTTCCCTTCTGGGGCAGTGGAGCAATCAGGTGTGGAGGGAAGGTGGCTACAGTAAAGTCTTTAGGTTATGGACTCTGAGCTCCATGGGGATCACTGCAGAGACCAATGACAATGTTCTCTGATGTGAGGTCTTTTCAGACAGATGTCTGCAAAGGGGTCTCAGCTCTGCAGACCTCCTGGTTATATACAAGCAGGATGTGCTGAAGTCTAGAAGTTTAATCTTAGTTCATCTGACTCATTACGGGGCTGTAGGAAGAGGGGCCCTGCCTTGCAGGGGAATTCTAGACCCTCCCTTTATCTTGGTGAAATGGTGAAAAATGTCATGACTGCAGGCGTTTGGTGAAATGGCGTGGCAAAATGACCCAATGGGGTTTGAGACCTGCAGTTAGGAGGAGCAGAGCTTAGCAGCTTCTGCAAGGAAGGACGGCAAGGACACGGCAAACTCGGATCCCACACGTGGTCAGGCCAGCCCAAACCAGGGAGCTCTCCTGGGTGCTTACATCCTTTATTTTCTGTCCATGTCCTCAGAGGGCCTCAGGGAAACTGCTAGAGTTAGGTGAAGAGCAACGTGCAAAACTGTCTTTGATTTATGACCTGAGTCTGGACTTAAGCCTAGTAGGAGGCATTTGGAATCAAAGGTAAATTTGTCTCTCTCAGTTCTGAAACGTATCACTTTACAATTCTGCGAATGGGAAGCTGGGAGGGGCATTATTGTCAAAAGGAGCTGTTCATCTTTGACAGGCTCTTTTGGATAACCACAAGATCGTAGACCATTTCTCAAGTGAAATTTGAGACAGAGCAGGTACCGAGAAAGGAGACTCGTAAGACACATCTTGTTCTCTGCAAATAAAACACACAGACGCTTCTGAAACCACTGGGCTTGCCTAAGACCGCATGTAAACCTCAGTTCGCCAGAGGTCACACGTCTGGCTTACGGGAGTGTGTCTCAACAGGCAAGCGCTGCTTTTAAAGACTGGAGGCTTAAAATCTTGTTTGCCTTCCAAGATGATATTTCTGCCTATTTGCCTAGATTAAGGGACCCTGGCTCTGAACCCTGGGAGGAGAGGTTCGGAGTAGGGATGGGGAGATACCAGGGCTTACAGGTAGCTCCTGTTCTCCTGAGTAAGCAGGACAAGTTCAAACACAAGACAAACAGGCAGAGAAACCCCCCAGATTCTTTGAGAGTCATTGCCTCTCCCAGAAGGATACAGATGAAGAGTCAGGTTGCACTCAGGCTAAACTGGAGTGTACTTTAAGAGTGTTCCCTATTTTCGTGTGCCTTGGCAAACTCGGGGTGGAATGTAAGGGTTGCCATAGTAATATCCCTCTTTTTTTTTTTTTTTTTCCCCAGATCAGTCACGTGACACCCATGCACATGCGGGAAGCCACTGCTAATAGTTCTGATGCAATTCTGTTTGGGGGTTTTGTTGGTATCTGAAGTGGTGGGGCACAACTTCTTTGGGGATTAAGGGGTTCAGGGTCCATTTCCCCTTCTCTCCCAAGGAGAATGCCTTCTTGATCATCACTTCTGTTTTCTGGGGCAGGGGGGAGGGCACCTGTTCTTGCAGCAAGAATGAGCCAAGCTGTCTTTGTCAATCACTCAGCCACCTCTCCGTTGGGCTGCCAAGGTCACTGGTTCCTAAGTCTATTAGCTGGAGGACAGAGCAAGAGGTGGGCTCTTCCCTCGCAATTCCTACAGAAGTCACCTCCAGCTGGGGCTACATGGCATTCTTTGGGCACAGGAAACCAGGACCTTCTGGACCCTTTGGCCATGAACTTAAAGCCACCATGATGGGGACGCTGACTGGCATGGGAGCCTGGCATTAAATTTGTGTGAACAGGGCTGGGAGTTGCTGCCTGACAAAGAAGCCTTCTCTATACCCAAGAGAAACTCTCCAAGCAAAAGCAGCACGGGTGAAAGTCATCAGGACCAGCTCCGAGCTCCTGAAGTCTAAGGAATGCCGCCAGCTCAGCGCCGGCTCCATGCACTGTGTCTTTCAGTCCCTGGGTGCCACCTGGGGGGTACCAGGGTGGGAAGTTAACTCCCAGGCCACCAGAATTCTGTGTCTTTCTTCTTGCCGTCTCTAGCAGTCCCCAGAGGAATGCATTCTCTTAGATTTTCCCCTGGGGAGGGTGGGCTTGCTTCCAGGTCACTGGGAATGAGAAGGGTCACCGTTAGGGAAGGAATCCTGCAGGCTTTGTAGGAAACAGGATGATGGCACCTCTCCAGAACTCCTTTTCCTATGCACTCCTGCACAGCAACTAACCTTTCTGCCAATGAAATCTAACCCCGCCTCCTTTAGGGTCGCTGTTCTCCAGCAGGAGGCAGGAGAACTCGCAGAACAGCCGCCTTTGAAGAAGTACTCATTGTCTGCCCCGAAGACCAGCCTCAGCTGTCCCATTTTAGTCCCCTCGCATGGGAAGGGGGCTTTGAAGAATCATCCCCGGGGTTTCTACCCAGTCTACTGAGGGTCCTGCACGCCTGTCTCCAGGAGGATATGGTTTGGTGGTTCAGGGGTCAGAGAAAGACAGGAAAGTATATCCCTTCCAGATCTGCTATGCCCTCCCATCCAAGTCCAGTCGGGAGAGGGCAAACTCTCCAGGGCAGAGATTAAGGGTGAAGTTTGATGTATCAGTGTTCTGCATTTGGACCTGTTCTAGTGCAGATTCTAATCCTAAGAGGACAGTGGCGAGTCAGCCAGTGGGAGCAGTGGCAGGGGCAGGCATGCAGTGTGCAGGCGGCAGGGCAGGCAAAGGGGAAAGGCAGGTTGCTGCCTCCTTGGTCTGGCCTTGCTGGGCTGAACTCCAGGAAGTTTTGCAGAGGGACGTGCAATCCCCCAGGCTCTTGGGAGCTTACACCTGCTCCCTCCTCCATACTATGGCTCTAACCCTAGTTTTACTTGTGCTCATCAGAAATATTCATACTCTCCCACCAAGGGAAAGTTTCTACAGCCGCCCCCAGGCTGTTGCCAGGAGCACTTGCAGAGGTGAATGAGAAAAGTCTCATTGGGGACCTTGGGTGCTCCAAGTCTGAGAAGGCGGTAGGGAGAAAGCTGAGCGGGGGATCAGACACATTCAACACGCTAAAAACCCTACCCACTGCATGGAGACAAGAAGGCTTCTGGTGCCTCGATACTGAGGAAAGCGGGAAAGCATGTAGCTTTGGGATGTAATCAAAAGAAGTAGGAGCAAGGTAATTCCATTACAAAATAAAGACCTGAGCTTGGAAAAGTACAAAGGGAACGATTATACCTAGAGATTATCGGCCAATGTGACTACACACACAAGCTTGAATTAATAGTAGTGGCGGACATCTAGGAAAGTCAGGAAATTACAGACTTGAAATGGTGTTGAAAACAGATCCTTGGATTCGGTTCCCTTCCGCAATGAAAGTGTTCTGCAGGCAGAAGTAGATTACCTGTCCTGTTGGCTAAACTCATGAACATCTTTTCCCCTCACCTCCTGAAAATGAATCAGTTTCAGAATCTGAAGGCCAGAAAAGCTGACATCAAATACAGTAGTTCGATCTCTCCATCTCTCCATTTTGGATTGCATTTCTCTTTTTAGCTGGGGAGGACTAACAAAGCAAACTCCAAGGTGAGGAAAAGGTAAGATGCACAAGGACCTTAACTTACAAAGGTCATCCGGCATAGAGATGTGGCGAGTCTCCATGACTCCGGATGGCTGGGTGTGGGTGTCAAAACCTCACCACCAGTCTCAGTCCCCTCCTCCCGCAACCTGCCTCACCCCTACCCCAAAGCAGCAGGGATAAGTGTGGGAGGGAGGACAAGCTTATAGTAGGTTTAAGCAATTGGGGAAGAATGACATCACACACGAAGAAGCCAAATCTATATGTCTATGTTATAGAGATGCCCACAATTACGCTTCTTTTTTCTCTAATGGCAGCACAGGCGGCAAAGCTGGGAGATAGGCTCTCTCTGCAGGTTCCAAAATGCTGGTGCGGGATGGGCTCTAGAAACAGAAAGCCAAGTGCCGACGGAAACAGAGAGCACCCCAGCTCTACCAATGGGAGTCCTCTAGAAAAGGCAGTAAGAACGGAAGCAGTGGGGAGGGGTGCAGCTGAAGACCGCCAGGGGCTGCACCCCACTTAATGGCTTTCCCCTCATGCCTTGGGGGGGGTCTCCATTGGGTGGAGGAAGGAAGCCAGATGAGATGGAAAGCCCCCTCTTCTGTGGCAACCCAGAAGTCAGTCTCTTGGAACTGAGGGTGGACCTCAGCAGAGTCTCCTGTTGGACCTTGGGTTGAAAGAATGGGGAGTGGAGGTGACTGTGTTCATGCCTCTCTCTTGCTCTCTCATCATTGTACCTAAATGGCCGCTGGAATTCTGAGATGAAGTGTTTCTCTAGAGTGATGACTGACGGTTGAAGCAATAATTCAGAAATCCTGGCTATTTATTGCATTAGAAAACAAAACCATTAAAGCACGGAAGACAGCCCTTTAGTGTCCCTGCCAAGGAGATGAAGCTGAAGTGCAACCCCAGTCGCACTCAATCATGGGTTCTTTACGGAACGGTCCCATCGTCCGCGTCCATCCATCGTCCGTGGGTCCGTGTCTGCTGTGTGGAGGAAGAGTCTGCCCGCGGGGCATGCACGTGCGCGGTGAGCTGCAGCGTGGTGTGGCTGGCGGGAGGCTGCTACTCCATGCCGCTGCGGAGTATCTGGTTGGCTGCAATCAGCATGACGCTGATGATGAAGGCCATGGCGAAGGCGCAGATGAGGCTCTTCCGGACGCAGGTCTGTCTGTTCTGCTTCTGGGAATGCACTGGTGGTGGGAGGAGGGAAGAGGGGTGGGGAGGACAGAGAGGAGAGGAATGAGACAGTGGGAAGGACAGAGAGGAGAGAAATGAGACAGTGAGATAGGTCACAACTCTTCCTCAACAGGCCAGCAGCGAGTCCTAAAGGATGAGACTGGTCAAATCAAGTTGACAGGCACCTAAGGGACCACTGCCGTGGAGAACGGAGACTGAATAAGACAGTACACCTGCTGGTGAAAGGTATGAAGTGAGAAAACTTGTATAACGAGAACGGTGATGGAGGTGATGTTCACAGGAAGGCATAACTTTATTCTATCCAGATAAAATAGAGACAGAGTGGCGTTCAGAGCTGGGACATATGGGACGTTCCGGGGGGGGGCTTCGTCAAAGGTGTGATCCCGTGATTGCTATATCCATTTCTGCAGCTGATACAAACAGAGCAGAAATTCAGAGGGTTCCCTACACCTCTGTGACCAGCTGGGTACAACTTACCTTTCCTGGATGTGTTCTTGGGTTTTGCTAGTTGAATCACTGTAAGTGATTTCTTGAATTATTTCAGACACACAAATAGTGGTTCTGGAGTGAGGTCATTGGACAAGCAGCATCCTACTGAGAGCTTTTTTTTTTTTTTTTTTGGAGATAGTGTCTTGCTCTGTCTCCCAGGCTGGAGTACAATGGTGCAACCATAGCTCACTGCAGCCTTAACCTCCGGGGCTCAAGCTGTCCTTCTCTTTGGGCCTCCTGAGTAGCTGGAACTACAAGTGTGTACCACTGTGCCCGGCTAATTTAAAAAATTTTCATTTTTGTAGAGATGGAGTCTCGCTATGTTGCCCAGGTGATCTCTAACTCCTGGGCTCAAGCCATCTCCTGCCTCAGCCTCCAAAAGTGCTGGGATTAGACGCATGAGCCAACATGTTTGGCCACTCGGGAGATTTTAGAAAATGCAGATTCTTGTCCGTATTCAGTGGCTCTTTTGCCTGTAATCCCAGCACTTTGGGAGGCTGGGGCGGGCAGATCACCTGAGATCAAGAGTTTGAGATCAGCCTGGCTGACATCGTGAAACCCCGTATCCACTAAAAATACAAAAATTAGTCGAGTATGGTGGCATACACCTGTAACTTCAGCCGCTCAACAGGCTGAGGCAGGAGAATCACTTGAACCCAGGAGGCAGAGGTTGTAGTGAGCTGAGATCGTGCTACTGCACTCCACCCTGGGCAACAGAGCGAGACTCTGTCTCAAAAATATAAATGCAGATTCTCGGCCAGCCGTCACCTCAGACCTGCTGAATCAGAGGCTGTGGGAGTGGGGCCCCCATCTGTGTGGAAGAAGCCCTCTATGAGATCTCGGATGCTGCTGAAGTTGGAGAAGTGGGGACTGCTTGCTCTGCGGCCAGCACCGGTGTGGAGACAGGGAGGCATGAAACCCTCTTAGACATGCCAGAGGCAGCGTGTCCTGCCCCCAGACACCACGGTGCAACGGGCTGACTGTGGGTCTAGTGGTTTCATTCTCTCAGTCCTGCTGCTGCCCCAGCTGCTGCACTCTCATTTTTATAAGGCCATGAGAAATCCTGAAGGGGTCTCAATCACAGACCATATTAAGATGGGCTGGAAACAAACAAATGGAAATAACAAGAAAAAGCATTAGCCTGTAATTGCAGCACTTGGGGAGGTCAAGGCAGGAGGATGACTTGAGGCCAGGAGTTTGAGACCAGCTTGGACAACATAGGGCTATCCCATCTCTACAAAAAGTAATAATAAAAAAAAAAGCTGGGTGTCATGGTGCATGCCTATAGTCCCAGCTACTTGGGAGGTTGAGGCAGAAGGATCACTTGAGCCGAAGAGCTTATGGCTGCGCTGACCTATGGTCACACCACTGCACTCCAGCCTGGGCCACAGAGAAGTGAGAAGGGAGGGAGGGGAGGGGAGGGGAAGGGAAGGGAAAGGAAGGGAAGGGAGAGGGAAGGGAGAGGGAGAGGGAGGGGAAAGGGAAGGGAGAGGGAAGGGAAGGAAGAGAGGGAAGGGAAGGAAGAGAGAGGGAAGGGAAGGAAGAGAGGGAAGGGAAGGAAGAGAGAGGGAAGGGAAGGAAGAGAGAGGGAAGGGAAGGAAGAGAGAGGGAAGGGAAGGAAGAGAGAGTGAAGGGAAGGGAAGGAAGAGAGAGTGAAGGGAAGGGAAGGAAGAGGGAGGGAAGGGAAGGGAAGGAAGAGAGAGGGAAGGGAAGGAAGAGAGGGAAGGGAAGGGAAGGAAGAGAGAGGGAAGGGAAGGAAGAGAGAGGGAAGGGAAGGAAGAGAGAGGGAAGGGAAGGAAGAGAGGGGAGGGAAGGGAAGGAAGAGAGGGAAGGGAAGGGAAGGAAGAGAGGGAAGGGAAGGGAAGGAAGAGAGGGAAGGGAAGGAAGAGAGAGGGAAGGAAAGGGAGAGGGAAGGGAAGGAAGAGAGAGGGGAAGGGAGAGGGAAGGGAAGGGAAGGAAGAGAGGGAAGGGAAGGGAAGGAAGAGAGGGAAGGGAAGGGAAGGAAGAGAGGGAAGGGAAGGGAAGGAAGAGAGGGAAGGGAAGGGAAGGAAGAGAGGGAAGGGAAGGGAAGGAAGAGAGGGAAGGGAAGGGAAGGAAGAGAGAGGGAAGGGAAGGGAAGGAAGAGAGAGGGAAGGGAAGGAAGAGAGAGGGAAGGGAAGGGAGAGAGGGGGAAAGAGCTGAGAAAAAGAAAAGAAAGAAAAAGAGAGAGGGAGAGGGGAGGGTAAAAGGGAGGGAGTAAAAAGTGCTGAGAGAGAAATAAAAGGAGAGAGAGAGGGAGGGAAAGAGCTGAGAGAGAGAAAAGAAAAATAGGAAGGAAGGAAAGGAAAAAAGGAAGGGGAAGGAAGGAAAGAAGGAAGGAAAAAAGAAAGAAAGAAAACAGGGGCTTTGATGAAGTGCATCAGGGTTCCCAGACATGGCATTACCTGAGGGAAACAGCTCTACGTGGATGCCAGAATGTCTTCCCCATCTCCTCCTTCCTTTCCTCTACACTTTCTCCCTTGCCCCCTCTCCTGCAGTGGCGCATGTTCCCCAGTTAGCTTACAGGAGACGCCTGTGTCCTGGAGGTCGGCAGGAAGCAACCAGAGCAACTGGCTGAAACAGCAGCACCAGCGCCAGCTAAGAGCTGGACACAAATGACATTCTCAGTCCTGTTGCAGAATTACTGAATGGGACTCTGGGTGGAGGCTGGGAATTTGTCTGAATAAGCTCTCCAGGTGATTAAGGAACTGTTAGATACCCACTCCGAAGTTTTTGATTCAGGAGGCCCAGAGTAGGATAGAGTTGCTGGGAGCAGGAGGGGTCTCTCTCACTCACCCGCACACTCGCGCTCACGCTCTCTCTCTGTGTGTGTGTGAGAGTGTGTGTGTGAGTGTGTGTGTGTGAGTGTGTGTGTGTGAGAGAGTGTGTGTGTGAGTGTGTGTGTGTGAGTGTGTGTGTGTGAGAGTGTGTGTGTGAGAGTGTGTGTGTGTGTGAGTGTGTGTGTGTGTGTGGCTGGGGACACTAAACTGGAGGTACTGAAGAAAATGGCTCTTTACATTTAGCTGTGAAAGAAAAAGGTCAAGATAGTGTCCACAGGCCTTTAAATAATGTAAAAATCACACAAGCTCAAGTACCTCTCTCCCTTGATGTTAAGTGGCTCATCCAAACGCCTGGAAATATTAATAACAGGAAAAAAGTGGGAAGCTGGCCAACTTTCCAAAGGCAAACACAACTTGCTCCAAGAGAAATGGTCCCAAGGGTTGTCAAAGGATCTCTAAAAATGGGATTGATCTTTTTTACGGCTGCATAGTATTCCATGGTGTTTAGATACCACATTTTCTTTTGTTTTTAAATTTTTTTAAATTGCATTTTAGGTTTTGGGATACATGTGAAGAACATATAAGATTGTTACATAGGTACACACATGGCAGTGTGATTTGCTGCCTTCCTCCCCATCACCTATATCTTATCTGGCATTTCTCCCCATGCTATCCCTCCCCAACTCCGCACCCCCTGCTGTCCCTCCCCTATTTCCCCCCAACAGACCCCAGTGTGTGATACTCCCCTCCCTGTGTCCATGTGTTCTCATTGTTCAACACCCGCCTATGAGTGAGAACATGCAGTGTTTGATGTTCTGTTCTTGTGTCAGTTTGCTGAGAATGATGGTTTCCAGGTTCATCCATGTCCCTACAAAGAACACAAACTCATCATTTTTTTATGGCTGCATAGTATTCCATGGTGTATATGTGCCATATTTGCCCTGTCCTGTCTATCATCGATGGGCATTTGGGTTGGTTCCAGGTCTCTGCTATTGTAAACAGTGCTGCAATGAACATTCGTGTGCATGTGTCCTTACAGTAGAACGATTTATAATCCTTTGGATATATACCCAGTAATGGGATTGCTGGGTCAAATGGAATTTCTATTTCTAGGTCCTTGAAGAATTGCCACACTGTCTTCCACAATGGTTGAACTAATTTACACTCCCACCAGCAGTATAAAAGTGTTCCTATTTCTCCACATCCTCCCCAGCATCTGTTGTCTCCAGATTTTTTAATGATCGCCATTCTAACTGGTGTGAGATGGTATCTCAATGTGGTTTTGATTTGCATTTCTCTAATGACCAGTGATGATGAGCATTTTTCATGTTTGTTGGCCTCATGTATGTCTTCTTTTGTAAAGTGTCTGTTCATATCCTTAGCCCACTTTTGAATGGGCTTGTTTTTTTCTTGTAAATCTGTTTTAGTTCTTTGTAGATTCTGGATATCAGCCCTTTATCAGATGGGTAGATTGCAAAATTTGTTCCCATTCTGTTGGTTGCTGATTCACTCTAATGACTGCCTCTTTTGCTGTGCAGAAGCTGTGGAGTTTGTTAGGTCCCATTTGTTATTTTGGCTTTTGTTTTCAATGCTTTTGATGTTCTGGTGATGAAGTCCTTGCCTATGCCTATGTCCTGAATGGTTTTGCCTAGATTTTCTTCTAGGGTTTTTATGGTGTTAGGTCTTATGTTTAAGTCATTGATCCA